CCTTCCACCTGCCCTCAGTTTTTCCATCTTGCCTAATGCATCGCTGCCAAATTTAGACAGTTTTCTAAGTACGTTATAGCTGCTCCTTTGCCTGATTGTTCTGCGACCTCCGTCGCCCGTTGTCTCATGAACGAATGCATTCGCAACTTCGGGCGATGACTGAGCTGACCTCTGATAACGCTTCTTGTCTCAAGGGTGACATCGTTACGGGATTGGGTAAGTTACTCCGTAATAACAGGTACTTTTGTACGCCATATCGTCACGAAGGCAACGGCCTCTATGAAAGTGTTTTCGCCACTTCACCGGCGATGTTGCGCACATATATCAGGGATGACCAGCTAGAGTGGGGCATCTTCTTACCTGCTTGTGTCTCTTGTATAATACCAGCATCCATTCGAGTACCAATGAAACTCCATTCTTTATGATATTCGGACGCGACAGTGTATTTAGAATCGATCTTATGTTCAAACACCAGGCCTTTAAGCATATTCCTTCCGATGATGATGCCAGTATCTACAAGGAACCCTTGGTTTCGGCCCTTCACTTAGCCTGGACCTCCGCCGCTGCCTTCAACGCCAAGCGGAGCCTAGCGTTCAAGAGACAGCGAGATAAATTGGCGTTACCCCCTCTTCAAATGTCGGTTGGGAATCGTGTGTACCTCAGGGATTTCACTCCCAAGGTCGGTTTTTCACCTAACCGCTGCTTCCCCTAGTTGGGCCAGTTTTGGGTCATCTCAGTTGAGCATCCTCACTTCATTATAACTAGTATCGCCTCCCCTCAGTCCCCTCCTAAGAGAGTTCATATGAACCAATTCAAAAAATGTTTTGAAATATCTGGATCAGTTTCTTCTCCTCTTGGACACCCATGCCACCCATTGAAGAAGAAGCCGCCTTGACCCGTTCCGATGCCGAGACTGCTGAAGTCGTGGGTTACCCACATACCGCAACACACCGGCCCTCAGCCTCTCACTCACACATCACACGCTTTCGTAAACACACGACTTCCATTTAGCCTTCCACTTGCTTCAATCTACCATCTGGTCACTTGTGGTCATCCTCACCCTCTATTCACTTATTTTCATTTATTGTTGATTGCTCTTTTGTATCTCAACGAATTTTCAATAATGTTTCGTTGTTGTTTCACGATATTCGTTTTACCGTGTACGTCTTCGACGAGAACTCATCGTGACTCACTGCATCTCCCTAGGCTCATCTGACCCGCTCTCAGATAAGCTTACGTCCTTATGGACTTTGAGTGCTCTGTCGATCAATCTCTAGACGTAGGTGATCCTGACACCATTTAAGACATCGACCAGGTGGTAAACGACACCCAGCCAGGTAGTGGGGCCTAGTCTTCGTCCTTCCAGTTTGCCATAGCGTACTACGTTCTTCCAGGGTCCCCGCCCCCTCCGGTGCCGATAGACTCTACCGACCCGAGCGTGGGGGATTCTATGGTGCTTGATGACGTCTCGGCTGTCAATGGTGAAGAACCTATTGACTGCGAAGTGACCGTACCGTCCCGGGAGGTTTCTCATCGATCCAGCTCTCACGTCGTCTCTGGACATGGATACTGACCCCCTTGTGACCGTGCCATCGCCCTCCAACGTCACCTCGGGGGCCGATGTCATCATAGGTGAGCCTGCTGGAGCTGTTGCTTTTACGCGAGAGCCTTTGTTACTTCAGCTTCTTCGACCGATTCTGCTAATTATTCGACTACATCGGAAGCGAAAATTTCCACGGAATTTTCCTATGCCAACGTCATTGCTCGCCAACAAGCAGCCGCCGCCGCTAGGAATCCCGGCTTTCTAACCACGAGACGCTTCCGCCAGCTCCAGTAAGTCGCTCTCAACGACCTCGCAATACCGACGAAGTCTTAACTATGACTTACCGACGTTTACCCGAGTTCGCGCTACCGGATCACACTTTATCGAGAGTCACCCCTGAGCGCATCTGGTTACACTTTACGATACGCCACTTCCTGCCTCCCCAGTGGAACCAGCGTCTGCGATGCCACTCGACTTGTACGGCCACATTCCCGCAGGCGGATATCTCTCGAGTAAGTTCGTCAATCGTTGGTGCTTCACACCTTTAAAGAGAAGCCTCATGTACTTCGCCGACTCCTAGTTATCAAGCTGATGCGACTGGAACACGCCGTCGCATTTCGATAGGTCTCTCAAACCATCATCGACCAACTCGTTCGCGGAGAGTACACGGCTACTGAAAACGCATCGCCTCCTACTCCTGAAGATTCTATGCCTGGCGCACTTCTTCCGCGAATCTGCTCTCAATTCCCCGTCTTGCACCAGGTTGTCAACAAGGGGCTCAGCCAAAGCGTCATTCTAGAGGCAAAGGATTTCTTCGTTCCTGTTCCAGATCGACGTGAGCTCCATCTGATCGTTCTAGACCAGTACGCAACGAACGTCGCCAGCAATACCTGAGGATTCGATCGGTTGCTCCTCTCAGTAAAGGATCTTGTATGGGTCTACACCGTGTATGGGTCAACCCGGACAAGGCGCTCAAGCAAGCCGGTATTCCAAGAGCAAACGCCCTCAACAGGCGCTTTCCATATTTCTTCCGAGCGAAAGAGTTCACGTTCGTCCTCCTCGATTGACCACCCGACGAACGCTCGGTATCGTCCTCTCCGTCGTAACCCGGTATGAAGGCGTGAAAGAGCTGCGCATTGCTTTCGAAGGATCTCCGGAGACCGTGCAGGTTTCTCCGTCGGTGTGCGACTTCCCGTTGAGCGATGCTGAATGTGACGAGGTTGTTTCGGCAAATATTAGGACAAACTCATCTTGCGCTACCGTTTCTCGGAGTTTCCAGCTTCCAGGGACGCGCAGATGAGGCTTTGTTTCCTAGTAGGTGACTTCGTACCAGCTCACGCAGAGTAAAGTATGCTCCCTCTGCGGGCATTCAAACTCACCAAGAGCGAAAAGGAATGGATCGCAGACAGAGCGGCCTCGTTCACCAACTACTTGCGCAATTCAGCGGAATCTCGTCGACGCATGGCGCAGCTCTTCAATGCCGCTTGCTCTGCACTGGTCGCAGTCAACGCCTTGAATGACGACAAAACGACCCACAGGCTTACCGCCACAGTTCCGAGCCTGGCCGCGTTCACCTTCCGCTTCGACTTTATATTCACTGATATGTCTTCGGAATGCGAATGGACGAATCACCGATCAGTCTACCTATGGATCGTGGGCTCTCAAACGCCCATCCGTACGACCATCGAACAATCGAAGCACTCTTATGAGACCTGCTCAATGGCTGTGCGTCTCGTCGCTCCAGCTTGGGGTTACAACTACGCTGTCCGCATCGTCTACAGATTTGCCACCATCCGCAATGACGTTATTGCTGTGGACGTATGTGTGGAGCTAGGGTCTCTGCCTGCAAGAGCCGAGCCGCTGTACGAACTGATTTGCCGCATCAGTTGTTCGGACGTTTCGACGACGACTCTCCAGCCGCAACCACCCTCGACACTGTCTACGGAACGCGAGTCACTTCATTCGGGTCTGCTGCCCCTCAACCACAGCATGTTTACATTTCGGTCAACGGCCGTGCTTTCCCACTGCGTTCTGTCTAGATAGCAGCGCTGCAGATGGGTGATCGGCACCTACCCATCCCTGCTATCCAGGCTGCCATTATGTTCGAAGTACGTCAGCTAGCAGTCCTGGTCATCACCACGTCAGCTCTACTCAATTCCGTCGCCACAGACGGTATATTTAACAAATGGATTGACCAGTTCTCCCTTACCATCAAATGCCGGAACCGGCGTTAGTAGCTCTGGTCACTGTTGTCCCTCGGGCCAGACACATCCACCTAGGAGATATCCATCAGCTGGAGCCACATGTCCGCTGTCCTCGCTCCACTAACCCGGCACGGTTTGGAGCTCAAGGGATCATGAGCATTCTCTTAGCGAAAGGAGTCCCCACGGCGCCACTGACGACTACCCCCCGCGCCCATCCTTTGCTCAACAAGCTGCCTAACTTGATCTTCTACGACCACACACTCATAAATGGAACACGAGCATATCAACGCCAAATGTTCTTATTAAACGTCCGGTGCCCTAACCCTGAGCTGCCTTTCTCTTCGTCGAAGTTCCAGGAAAGTCCTCGAAGGCTTTTAGCGGCTCACATAGCAACCCGATAGAAGCTGACCTGTCGAGAGATCGTTCTGAGCCTCTGTCAGAAAAATATCCAACCTTTTTCTATCGCCATCATCGTCTTCTACAAAGAACAAGCACGCGTCCTATCCCACTCTGCTCAAAGCAACAACACCGACTTACATACAGTGGATTCGGTACAAGGTCAAGAAAAGGACATGGTCATTCTGCTCACTACGAGAACAGGCTTTGATACCGATCGCGGCAAGTTCTTCAACGATCCTCATCGACTCAATGTTGCCCTCTCCCGTTGTCGGCATGTCCAATTCGTCCTGGGTCACGAGCAGTCTCTAATAGTTCTATTTTAGTGGCACGATATCCTCCAGTGGGCTCATAACCGACGCGCAGTTACTACGGCACCCGCACTACCCGATCTAATCGAATGAAACGGTTTCCTTGCATTCTAACTTATTTATCAATTAAGCTAATAATGATTCCTATAGATAGCTTTTCTAAGTCCGAGGACGGATTTTTGGTGCGGGGAGGTGTAAGAGGTCGTAAGAATTACTGGAATGTAAGAGAATAGAAGATTCAGATGAACCCCTTATTATATCTTTGTCATTGTTTCGTGGTGGGGAGATTGCAACTTTTAGATAAGGCTTACTGGATTAGAGGGCAGACAGCATATTAGACGTTACGGTAGCTGACTAACATCTCATGCTTCATACTTGAGGCTCGCGAACAGCAACAGCTGGTAAGGAAGCTCGACCGCCGCACACGAGAGAAACACGCCTGTCGCCTTCATAGACTCCTGGCCTTCATCGGTAGTCACCTCTGGGCTCACCACCTTCCAGACAAGGACATCGACTGGACTGATACTCGTACACGATCATATTAATAACTGATTGTTTATTCACGTCTTAGTCGCCCACAGTCTGCTGAGCGGTATGACCACACCTATTACTTTTCTACCCTCAGTTCTTGTCTTATTCAACATGTCTCTGGAGTGTATAAAGGCCTACCATCTCATTCCGTGGCGGGAAACACAGCATTCTGGTGCGACAGTCCCCTCAAGAGGATGTGGGCCCTAAGAATACCCACATTCTGCCGTGATCCCGGGGTTCCCCACGCCGATGCGTTGGTCCCCAGGAACCTGGGTCGCGAACTGCCAGCTTTGAATCAGAATAGTTCTAGAGTTCTTCCTAGGAGTAGTTACAGATTTCCGGTGAACTACACTTTTTACGCACGCCCCGCCTCTAGTGGGCGAAGCCTAGCCTGAGTCAAGGAGTTCGGCGCAGTCCTCACTTGTTCCAACCTGTCTGAGCTGTTCCAGCGCCATATAAAACAGTTACAGACAAACAGAAAAACAAACAGACAAACCGACAAACAAACGGACATTTGTGGTCTGTAAATAGTAAGGATAGTGCTGAGAAGAGGAATAACTAGGTGAATGGGTTAGGCTGCTAGTGAAACCAGCAAAGTGAGAGGCCACCGCGAGGATAGAGCGCTCATAATGCTTTCAGATATTCAAACAAGAAAACTCAAGCCTTCCAATGAATAAGTGCGATCCAAGCAAGCGATTAGTGCTTGAGCATTTAACGGATTGTGCAGTATCAAAAGGAGTAGCACGGCTTTGTGGCAGTGTCATCTTCTACGCTTTTGTGAAACCGTACACTCCCATGTGTGTTTATTTTCTAGTTTTGATTTTTTGAGCTTTTCGAAGCAGATCAATAACAGGACATCCATGAGAGGGCTTAAAATTGAGCGAAATAGCAGGATTAGGTAAGTTTATCAGGTAAACTAGGTAGGGCGAGGAAAATACTGCTTTACTCATATATATAGTAGTGTGCAAATTTGTTAATTTTCCGTTAATCTGCTCCATGTAATGTTAGCTCAAATGTGAATCCGCGCGCGGTGCCGCACGCAAGTGATAAAATTAAGGGTGAGAGGCAGCTGTTGCGAGATTGAAAACGTCGTTTTCATTCATGAAACATGTAATCGAGAGGCACCTTGTAAGGTTTTACGATTGCATTGTTAACAGATCCTCGATTCATCAAGTTCAGCTATCTAAATTTAGTGCATTTTCAAAAAAAAAAAAACGCGGTAAGGGGTCACGTTTTTGCGATCTCTCAACCTCACGTACTTGTAACGTCGATATCTGTTCTCTATAGTGCACAGCTCCTTTCTACAGTCTTGGACCGATTCATTCAACAGTATCTATCTTTAGAGACTGTCCAAGGAGGCGTCGCGTCGACTTGTCCATGCCTCCATCTATCACCTCCGCCAGGGATTCCAATGAAGCATGTTCGTAAGTTGAAAGGTGTTCCATTATAGCTTTTTTCGGGTAATTTAGTCCCTGAATATTGCGGAATCTTACCATCATCAGAAACCATCACCAAAAGTTCCCGTGGTAACGTGATCAAAACGACACATCTGCTTTAAGAGAGCGTTTTGATGAGTAATATCGGGATTAATTTCCTTCTAGCAAGATCTCAGTTTGTTTTCAAATGAGTGTCGACGCATTTCTCCAGATAGCCGTACCTCTATTATTTACTATTTATTATCTTTATTATTATTGTTATTCATTTTATGCACGAGGAGTTCCTGGTACGATTCCTGTAACAAGGAATAAACAAACTAACAAAACAATTTCAGATGGATGAAAAGGAAATAAAAACATATTAGAATAAGTGAGAGGAAAGAGTTCATAAAAGAAACGTACCTGACTATCCTCTAAGCGTCGTAATGTAAAAAAGAAAACGCGGTCAACAAGGAATGAGTACTTGGTCGCAGTGTCCATTCAAGATGAGATCTATACCGCCATAGGTGATTTCGAAAAACTGCTTAACGGTTCTGGGTACGAAGTTACGGGACCTCTCTGTGTAATAGCACTGTAATACCGAACAGATCACCTAGCCGAACAAAATCCGTAGCTGTGCAACAATTGTGCAGCTGGGAGGGTGATGGACTGGTAGACATAAAATCAAGGTTCGAGTCTTCGATGCATGCGCTTATTTTGCTTTTCCATGAAATGCGTTCTAAACGCTTGCAAAACGTTATTGGGTTCAATATTGGCCACCTACGGAGATACTCACATTTTAGGAACGCTGAGAAGGCATTACAAGGAATGTTTTTTGCCCCTCACCGTCGGAATAAGGGTGCAGCTCCATTTGAGCAAAAGAGGAATTGTAAACGTTTGCTCAAAATGGGCTCCGAAAGCTTAAGGAGAAAGGTTCTAAATAATTGATCGGATCAAGCGTTCTTCAATACTCTGGTCGGAGGAGGTGCTATCGTACTTGATGGAGGACTCTCGTTCTTGTAGCATAACACGGGCACCATCTAAAAAAAGGTGGTAGTAAAGATCTTTTCAACCACACACTGCAATGCTGTGAGAACAAGCTCGTTACCCACTGCAAGGAAGACGAATCTGTGAAAGACAATCACAATGATCCTCTGCGAACGCCTGACGATGACAGCGGCGATGGATACATAACTTCAGGTTCCAGAATGAAACGTAGCCACTAGAACTTTGTGATCTGGCCCGTGAACTCCAGTTTTATGGAGCTGGTAGAAGAGTCTTCTATAGTTCTAGTGTTAAAAGGAGCCGCACTTCCTCGTGCATGGAAAAGGCGTTTTGTGTCATCACGACAGAGTGCCACATGCGGAAATTAAGGGGAATGGCGGGAGGCTATGGGCCTTCGAATTAGTCTACTATCGAAAACTTATGGTGTCTTATGTGTTGTAACTATCAGGTGCAAAACAAGCGGACCAATCTGTCTTTATATGGAGATTAGCGAATAAGATGGTACTATAAGTTATCATAAAATTAATGAAGGAATCTCGTTGCTTCAAAGCGAGCATGGGTGGATTCAAGGTTTTTAGTACAGCCAAGGTATCATATTCCACCGCACCACCGTGTTTACCTCTTGGAAGGGGGTTTACCTCGAGAATGAGCGGTAATCATATAATAGATACAAACACAAATATAATAGACAAGCTAGTGTTCCAATGTTTTTCTTCAGCGATGCCAGTTGACTTATACCACCGCTTTGAAAATGCGGACAGTAATCCTAGAATGTGTACACCGTACCCTCCTAGAGAGGGCTCTGATCAGATGAGTCATTTGCCCACCTTTTACCGTAAGCGCAGGGTGCTGCCGAATATTTCGATGCACCGTGTTGATTTTTCGGGATAGAGAGGTGTGTCTATTGGGTCAGTAGTGTTAAGAAATTCCTACTGGATTACAATTCCTCGGAATCCTAAATAGAGAGAGGGAGCTCCGTAGGTGCCCCACAGTAAACCCAAAAACGTCTTGCAAGCATTTAAGACGCATTTCATAGAAAAGCAAATTGAGTGCATGCATCACGGAATCGAACATTGATGTAATCCCTACCAGTCCACCATCCTATCAGCTGCTCTACAGTTGCACAACTACGGCTTTCCTCGGCTCGTTTATCTGTTCGGTACAGTGTTATAAAACAGGGAGGCACGACCGCGCAACTTGTTCGCCGAATCGTTTAGCAGATTTGGAGCACAGATTGAGATCAGGGTTCGAAAACACCTACGGCGGTATACCTCATCTTGGAAGGCCACTGCGACCAGGTATCTCTGCTCTGTAATCTCTCAGTAGTAAAATACTGACAAAATTTGCTCAAGATGTTGCAACCCTTCAGGCGTCGAGTGTTTTTTTTGATTAATTTGCCGAACTTAGCAGAAGCACGAACTGAGAAGGAGTTTGATCTCATACTGGACCTTGAAGAAGGCCGAACTAAGTGACCGACGGTCAATAAACCTTGCATGTTAATCAACGTCTTGCCTGTCAAAATTTAGTACGAAATTTCATTTTACCCTTCTTCCTGAAGAGCTGTGCTATTCTCTTTGCAGCTGCATGGTCTGTCGTCATGATATGGGCGACAACTAAATGAGAAATCCCATATCTCTGATTTAGGGAGGTTCTTGAGTTTACATGTGTCATCGGCGTAACAATTGACAGCACCCTAAGCCTTTTCTAAGCTGAGAACGGGGGTTTCATCTGCAGACAGGGGCATCTCCCATAGCTACGACTGTTTAGCAACTTTTCTAGTACTCGATGAACCGAGATAGAATCAATTTCTGAAGTTGTAGTCTTGTAAATTTTCATATCATCAGCGAAGACCTTTCACTTTACACAATTTTCCTCAACTACACTAGGTAGATCGAATGTACATATACAAGGCAGCATAGGAGAAAGTACCCCTCCTTGCGGAACTCCATTAGACACTGCCCTGACGGTAGAAAAGTATTCCCGATCCGAACTTGAAACAGCTGTCCACTCAGATAATTCTCAATCAATGCTGGTTTCAGGGGTTGGATTCCAACATATTTAAGCTTTTGAAAGAGCTCGTTGTGGTTCACCTCGTTAAATGCACTGCTAAAGTCAAGGTGAATTACATCAACATTACATACATACATACATACATACATACATACATACATACATA